TCTACCTAATTACTGTTATAGGAATTAAAATGCACTGCAAGCTGACTCTTGGTGATGAGTTGCAGGGGGAAAACAGGTCTCCATCTTGCTCTGAGAATAATCAAAGTTTCTGATTTTGTGCATGATGTTAATATTAAATTGTGCATCGGGTTGAATATCAGTCTATTGCTTCTGAGGGTTTTTTTATTATTTTTGTGAGGAATTCTATAGCAAAAGTGTTTGGCTTGCAGGATAACATGAGGAGAGTAAAACCAAGTTTTAACTTTCCCTGATCTCATTTGGAAGGCTTTGACAGCAGTGCTTATAAATTGTTAGAATGAACCAGTATACTTTCAACTATCTCCACTGTGCACCTATTTTTAAGTGTGTTCCTCAGACCTAAGTACATTTTGTATTGCACATACTCAATACTAAATATTCAGACAGTGATATCTGTATTAAATCAAACCCAGTTATTTTCCAGCCAAGCAAAGATTCTAGGCCATAATGAGGGCTATGTTATACCAAGTCTCAAGTTTCAAACTCCATCCTTTTTTGCTGAAAACTGGTCTAAAAATAATGTAGTTACCATTTTCAACCCGGCTTTAATCAAACATGGGAGAAAGTGTTTGCTGAAAATTTGCCAAGCAAATTCTGCTTTAGATCAGAACCCACGATAGAAGATATCAGCCCTAAAGTTTAGTGTTTTGGAAGCTGTGTGTGTGAAAACAGAAGCTTGTACTAGCAACTGCTTTGCAACCATAACTACAGCAGACTCCTGCTGTAATTAGATATGATAACCAGTATGCAATGCTGAATCTTATCAGAATAGCTGAACGCCCTTTTTACATTTGATTTTTTAGAGCTTGAAATTAACTTTTTCAGCCTAGTTAAAATAGATCAGTGGGCATAGGGATGAACTATTCCAGGAAGTTGATCTCCAGTCTGCCCAACACATTTTGTGGACCCTTCAAATTTACATGCAATCTATAAAGGCTGCATCATCAATGACACAGACATGCCAAAACAGGAGCCATCAGCTGCCAATGTGCAGCATTCTGTATAAAATCACAGCAGACATTAGAGCTGGCCGGAAAATTCTGATGACAAATGGAAATTGAATTTTTTGAAAAGATTTGAAATGTTTTCCCGTTTCTAGCAGATGTATTTTCACGCTGCTGAGCTCACACTAACTCAGAGCAGATGCTGATGCCTACCCCAGTATGACTTTTTGAGGGATGTTCTAATTTAATTCTTTCCTTGCCTGCACACTACTTACTCAAGGATGGCTAGTTTAGATGACTTTCAGAACATTTGGCTAACAAAGCTCCAATGTGAGGAAAAGGCAGAGAGAGAGAGAGAGAGAGAGAAAGAGAAAGAGAAAGAGCTAGAGCTGCCTTCATGACTCTCAAAGGGGCCCTAATCCCTTTATAAACAAGTTCATCCCTTTATAACAATAATAATATTACTTTGCACTTCATCCAAGTTCTCAAGGCATCTTGCAATGGTGAAAGAGTATCATCATCCAATTTTTGCCTCAGAAGGGCACCTGTCAACACGCCACAAGGCCAGGTGAAAAGAATGGCAGGATGTTGATGACCGGTCTGCGTCCATAAGATTCTCTCCCAAGTGATCTCATGTACACATTTTCCACTAGTGGTTGCACAATGATGGCTTCAATTAAGTGCACTTACCAAGAAATAACACAATAGCATGAGCACGCTTTACTGTGTAATTACCCCTGATTCCAGAGGAGTCTCCATGAACATAGTGATTTCGCTGTTACTGTGTAATCACATCCCGTATTTCACTGTAACTATGCAATTAAGCTGTCACAACTCTAGCGGCAGATGCAAGAGCAAAAGAGAGCGTCCATCTTTTCCTTTTATAAAGAGCACTATTGCTTGTGGTTCATATTGCAGCAGCACCTACGGGCCTCAATCCCATAGAAGCTCCACTGTGTTAGGTGCCACACGACACACAGGAAGATACAATCCCTGTCTGGAGGATGTTACAATCTAATTTGAAACAAGACACAATTTCCATATGTAACCAACACTAGAAGGGAAGTGCGTGAGGGAAGATGAGGCAAATGGTGATAAGATCACCTGGTTACAGGCTACCTCTGTGTACAACATGATGGTTCTGTAGAAAGGGCAAAGTTACCAGCCTGCAAAGTAACGAGGACTTCTAGCTGTATTCACCTCATGTGGAGATATGATAGGCTAACTCGGAAAGATTGTACCTCGGAAAGATTTCTCATAGCCCAGTTGAAATGAACAGGGCCATCAGCGTCTATGGGAGATTTATGGAGATTGTTGGACTAGGGTTCTGGTCACGGGACTGCGCATCGCGAAGTCACGGGTGGGTCGGGAGAAGGGCACTCAGGTTTAACAAGATGGCACCCACTGACTTTTTTCACTCAAGATGGAAACTGGAGATACCTTTGTGTGCCAACATTGTATTCAAAGGCAGATTGTGGCTGGCCTGTGTGTTGGTGCCCATCGAGTGAGGAGCGGGGTGTAATGCCCCCCTCCCCAGTGCAGGGGCCAGCTGCATTTGCATTCCCTCTGTTCTGCTACGCATAGGTACTACTCCCTCTGATAGTGCCACCAGGGCACAAGCCACCCAAAGGGCTTGTGAAATCAAAGCCATGCTCACAGAGCTGGCCAACCATAGAGGAGAGCATGTGCTGCATCTCTTAAAAGGAGGTACTGTAGGCATTCTCCTCCCATGGAAGAGCTCCAGGCATCATCATGCCTCAGTAGACAAAATGTCTCCCTTGCTCCCATCATGGCTTCACCCTCCTGCTATTGAGGGCTCTGGCTAAAAGGCATAATGTGGTCGTAAGTAGCCATTGCTATGAGTTACACTTGATGTGCACACCAGGATTGGAGGTGATCTTACCAAAAAAAAAAAATCTCCCTCAAACAGCAGGGAAGAAAACAATATATGGTAGTTTCATCCTTTCATATTTTATTTTCCCATGGCCAGGCAAGGAGGTAAAAGACTGGGAAACCAACCTGATTCACCTTTATGTCCCTGTAGAGCACAATCCATTCTGGAACCAGAGAAGCCACCATGACATATGTCCCAGAACCTAACAGTGGTGTCTGTGACATCTTGTCTGGAAGTCCCCAAAGGCTGTGCGCTGCATTTTTTCTCCATTGCCTCCAGCAAGTGTTTTAATGACACGTTTTATTTTAACAATTTTGTGGCCAGCCAGCAAAGTACCTTGGGTTAGTGTACAGATTGTTAATACCACCTCAGTCATCAGCAGAATAGTGGTGGGAATCAGTTACCTGCCTATCAAAAACACTTTAATTAAAGACCATCTTCCACTGTGACTGTTCTTCACACTTCACCCCTCACAGGATGCTCTCCCAGCAAATGAGCAGAACAGCTAGTGTGTTGCTTGCCATGGGTTCTTTTATTTCCTAACTCCCAGATGCCTGTTTCCCTGATTGTATTTGTGGTCCAAAGGGGATGCATTACTTCCACACCTCCCTGGCTCCGTAGGGCCACAAAAGCGAGATGGGAGTCTGGAGCACAATTTGTTGTCAGAGGTTTATTTCCACCCATTTAGGATGGCAAAATAGAGAGGTGAGATATTCAGGCCATTATAAACATGACTGTTTCTGCTGTCCATCTCAGTCTTTCCTCTCTGTGTCCCATCATCCTTGGTATCTACAGCCTGGGAACACAATTTACCTTAGGTTGGGAGGAAGTGATTACCTTCTGCTGTTGAATGGACCCTCCGTCACTGAACTGTGGGCAGGGGGCCGTGCAGCGTGGTCACCCTCATTTGAAATTCCCTTCTATTATCTTCTTTAATCCACTGCCCATCACATGCTTACCACATGCTGACTCTTTCCGTCCTGTCCCGTTGCTATCCCTCTCCTTGTTGGCCGTATGGTGACCAGACAGCAAGTGTGAAAAATCAGGATGGGGGTGGGCGGGTAATAGGAGCCTATATAAGAAAAAGACCCAAAAATCAGGTCTGTCCCTATAAAATTGAGACATCTGGTCACCCTAGTTGGCTGGGGTTCTATGGGAGAATTACCCCAGAAGATGCGATAGAGATGTGATATTGTCTTAGTATCACCACATTCAGGGCGGTCAAGCAGGGGAGGGCATAAGGAGGCACAATGTTTCCCAGAGGCACCACCTGTCCTGGGGCAAATTCCCAGCTCCAGGCCAGATTGTGCTGGGCTCTTATGGCAGAGCAGGGTAGGAACTTTCCCCATACTTGTGTGCCCTACAAAAGGGCCAGGCAGAATTCCAGCCTCTATGGTTTGGGCTGGGGCCATTGGTTTGCTCTCCTCTCATGTGTACATTCTGCACGTGGGAGGGGAGAAGGGTGGGATAAGCCGCACCTCACAAAGAGGTGTAGTAGGGTAGACACTGTCTCTGTGTGCCTGGGAGCTGTGGGGGCACTTGGGTGAATGCTTCCTCATGGTTCCTCTGAGATGGCACTCCTCCATCCTGCCCCTTGTTATGGCCAGACCTCAATGGCACAGTTAAGCCATCAGTATTTGCACTCATTTTCAAACCTCATAGTCCCGATTTCATTCTCACAGGGTCCCAGTCTGTGATCCTTGCTCTGCAAAGTAGTCCCTTTGATTTTGTGGGCTCTGCCTGAGAGGTATGGTCCTAATCAACATGAGTAAGGGGATCAATAACCTGTAAGGGCCACACCTGCTTCTTATTTGAGAGGTAGCCCAAGAACATTTGTATCATTATGATGAGTAATATAGCTTGTCCACTCCTGCATAGATTGGAAAGGTCACACATCATTGCATTTTGCAAAGTGATTGGGTTTTTTTTCTTTTTTTTTAATGATAGTTTTATGCTTGATTTGCCTGGAGTACACAGTGTGTTGGGCAACAGGCTTCCCAAATTAGTGCTGGGGGGAAAACATAGAGAGGAGAGGCCGGCAGTATGCTCATGTGTCAATTAAAGCTGAGCCACATCAGAGTTAAGAGTTAAAAATAACATGAATGACTTTGTTCTCTCTGTAGGTGACCTGTCTCCACGATTTCTTTGGGGATGACGATGTGTTTATTGCCTGTGGTCCGGAAAAATTCCGCTATGCACAGGATGACTTTTCTCTGGATGAAAACGGTAATATCTCATGCACTGATCTCTATTCTGTCTACTTGGGGTTTTTCTTCCTCCACCCCACCCCACCCCACCCCAGTTTGATTGAAGTTGCTTGTATTTTATTGCTTTTTTTTTAAGCACAAGTAATTTAGCATCCTTTGGGCTTATTGGACAGTCAGTGAATATTGTAATCTGATGGATATTGACTGATTTGCCACAAGGCAGAATAGGTGGATTCATTAAAGGCACTAACATTTTCTACTAATTGAAAAGCAACATAATCTGTTAGCAAATGTCCTCCTAGTTATATGCATATGGTTGATTGTAGTATCAGTTACTCCATCCCCAAGTAATAAAAACAGACTCACAAAATGATCACCACTCTTGTGCTTGAAAGATGTATGTGTGTGTGTATGAAATGGGAGCTAAGGCAGTTATGAACTAAGGTTCCTTCACTATCTACTGTGGTTGATTGTAAAAAGTAGTAAGAGTTGAAAAGGGGTGAAAATTTTAGAGCATGCTATCCCTTTTGGGGATGATCTGTCATCACGGTTTGTCTCCAGTCCAACTGCAACACCACATTTATAGTCCTGAAGGTATCAATGATAAACTAAGATATGAAATCTATGATATCAAGGAACATACACATCTTAATTGTAGGATTTACCCAAGCGGTCATAGGTGCTTGCAGTTATCCAGTGATTGCACACCTGTCCGGCCAAAGTCTCTGCTGCTGTCAATTAGTGCAACTCCACTGACTTCCGTGGAGTTTTGTCCATTTATATGGGCAGAAAATTTGATCGTTAGACTTCAGCTTGATGCTTCCCAAGACGCCTGAGGTATTTAGGTATCCTTAGGTGTGAGCTATTATATGCTACAAATGCAACAAAGCATTAGCGTCCAAACAGTGCTTTGCATTCAATATCAGCGTGAGAGTCAAGTGAGGTCTGCTCTTCTTGAAATTCGGGAGTTTTATGACAGCTCCTGGAGTCTGTCTTTATTTGAATCTAGTATTTTTGACTTGCATAACTCAGATTAAACAATGTGGTGGTCTCTGTGTTTCAGAGAGAGTTTCCAACATTCTGCTGAAGCTTTGCACACAGAGAATGAAGCCCTTGTTGAGCCGAAGAGGCTGTCTACAACCAGAGCTTCGCTTATATTTTAACACCACACAGTTCACGCAGCTCTGAGGGATCTCCATGCTGTAAAACTGCTTGCATGAAATCCTAGCAGAACAACTTGAAAGGGGGCCGAGCTTTTCCAGTTTGGATGTCTGTTAACAAAAATAAGCCTGGCCTGATTTTCAGAGGCACTGAGCTGCAAGTGCTCAGGAACTCCCAAAAGCAGACAGCGTCCCCTTCGCCCGCACCATCTTCCCATTCTCCACCAGCATCCCTCTCTGTTATATATCACACAACACAGGGATCCAGGATATCTTTCATTACAATCTCTTTTGTCACGGGCATGTCTGCCTCCCCAGCTGGAAGATGTGCACTCAGATTGCTGGCCATTAGGTCCTGTCTGATGAGACGTCAAGAGACAAGATGAGAAGTAGTACAAGCAAGATGTATGTCATCTTTTCCCTCCAAAATGCCCATCAAAAGTTCATCCTTCAAATTCCTGCTGCTGAGACCCGGTACTCTTCCAGAATTGCCATGTCTCTTGTGAACCCACTGATCTTGGCAGCAGCGTCTTAGGCTGAAAGAGCCAGTCTTATAGCAAGCTAATTAAAAACTCGGTGAAATCCTAACTCTATTGAAGACAATGGGAGTTTTGCCATTGACTTCAGTGGGGTCAGGATTTCACCCTCTCTCCGTGTGTGGATCTGTCCAGATACACAGACACACAATGGCTGCCTTTAAAATGTCAGTATTTTCCAATGGTTATCACACAGTGGCATATGAGATCCCCCACTATTTCCATGATCAATTATAGGGAAATACTGTTGTCTTTTAATGGCAACTGCTTCCATCCCTTCCTTTGTTTATGCATATGAAATGGGGTCTATATCAACTCAGCTATAACTATGGAGACACGATCAGTGCTTCTTTAATACCATCTATAAGATACCATATTCTTTTAAAAACATTCCGCCTCCCTACATCAGATTCAGTTTTTGTATATCATGCATCTTGTGTCATTAAGCAACAGAGTGACCGGGTTCAGTGCTCATTCTAATTAGCCGCGTATGGTATCCCTGGAGCACAATGCCAAGTACTGGCATAATTTCCTCTTTTTATCATATTGCATGACCCAAAAGCAAACTTTCCAGCAAACTGTCTGGAAGAAAGAAAATGAGGCTGGCTGCCTCATTTCAAGCGGGGGCGGTGGGGGCTGGAGGGAATTAGGGCGATTACATTTTCATAGATATTCTGATGTAGAAATAAACAAATAACATACATTTGGGTCAGACACCTTGTTTTCGGTTGACCAATCATTCATCTGCTGCGTGCTGCCTTACTTCATTTCCATTAGGGAATCCAGTCAAGGGGATTTTAAATCCCAACTAATGCTGGCCGAGCTGAGCTTTGCCCATGAAACACGGGCTGTATGTGGGAGATTTAACTTGGAGAACCACCATAATGTCCATTTGTAAGGGTATCCGTGCAGAAGATCTAGGTCTAAGGACACAGGGCTGAACTAATCAGCATTTAACAAAGGGGAAATCCTCTTCTTCTTATCCTCCCCCTATCTGGATGAAATTAATAACTTTAAGAAGTGGAGAAGTACTCTTCCAGGTATCTCTCAGTTCAAGTAACCGCTGAGTTCAAGATTTGGAATGCTTGAAATCCTAGTTCCCATGAAGCTTTGTAGCATTTCTATGCCTCTTTGGAGCCTTCGTAAATGGTGTTTACATTTTTCTCTCTACCCAGTGCATTTATTTTTTAAGAAAACACAGTCGGACTGTAATTTACTTGTGAGTGTAAGAGCATGGGCAGAGTGCCCAGGAGACAGGACTTCATTTTTGTACATCTGCATATGGTGCAGCTCCCAAAAGACTGTGGCTTGGAGAAGTCACAGAAGAGGGTTTGTTCAGTCTGAGTGAAATTCTCTCTGGTGCAGATGGTCTATGCACCACTTAAAGTCTTTAATGCAGGGCCATAAGTGAGGCTTAAGTGGTTGAGTGAGGCTTGTGCTGGTTTTCTGCACCTGAGTAAATTTCACTCATTGTCCATAGCTGTTACACATGGTCTGGTTAGTGTGGACTGCATTTTGTCACCTGTTACCCTGGCCTCAGCTGGCCAGGAGACATATTAATTGTTCTTTATTCTGACTTTTCCCACGGTGCACTCTGACCATTGTCAATATGCTACAGAGATTAATTAGTCAATGGACTCAATTCATCACCTAGGGTGGGCCAGTGGAAACCAGCACAGCCGAGGCTGCAGAGCCATTGCTGTGGTAAGTTTGCCTGGAGTAAGAGCATAGAGGTGCAAACCACTTGCAACCCCACTCTGCCAGGGGAACCAAACTGAGCTAGGCAGGCACAGAATCAGCACCTCTGACAAGTGAGTGCTGCTGGATTTTAATGCTGCCCTCCCTCAGGGTGAATCTCCTCTCTGATGCAGCCCCCCTGATAGCCATGTGGGAATGCCAGCTGCCTCCTGCGCTCAGAGGTGTTCAATCTTCCCCAGTGTTTGTAAAGCAAATTGAAAATATGAAGTGCTGTGCTGTCTTGTATTTCTTTCATTAGATTGTGCAATACATACCCTGTGCCCTCGGTGCTTTCCACGGGGTAAAAGGCCCCTAGCAATTAAGGTCAATAAGAGAACTAAATACGCTTGTCATTTATTTTATTAGAGTGCCGTGTAATGAAAGGGAATCCTCCAACCACTCCAGGCAGCAAGTCGTCCCCAACCCCTCAGAAGAGCTCAGCAAAGAGTCCAGCCCCCATGCGCCGGAGCAAGTCTCCAGCCGATTCAGGTAACCATCAAGATGGTGAGTGATTGTTTTCCAGTGGATGAATATTGACTCCATCCACACAAGGAAACAAATGCCATGTATCTTTCGATACAGTGACCTCCGGCATTTCCTGTTATTTTTATTTATATGCATTGTGATAATGTCTAAAGATTCCAATTAAGATCAGGGCCCTGTTATTCTAGCCCCTGTACAAACACAGAGTAAGGTACAGCTCCTGTTCCAACAGCTTACCATCTTGAATAGACAAGACAATGAAGGTGAGAGAAAGGGAATATTATTTATCCCCATTCTACAGATAAGGAACTGAGGCATAGAGAGATCCAATTTTGTCAGATTAGGTGTTTCTTTTCTCTTAGATGTACTTTAATTTAAAATAACCTCCTGTGCAATGTGAGTGTTAATAATTATGTAGTCTGGAAACATGCCTGTTTAATCCCTATTTAAGAAAACTAAGAACCTTGCCCATTGCAGAAGCTGGCCATAGACTCATTAAAATAATACAGAGGAACCTGTAAATACAGGTGCTGGAAGTAACTAAAATGGAAATTTTCATTTGCTACAGTAGCTTTTCATATTTCAGTAGCGTGGGATCTGCCTCTCTCCCTCCAGGATAGAAACTGGCAGGTTGTCTAGCAGCTGTTCATGTAGCATGCCTGTGATAGGTGTATATGTGCCTGATGCAATTTGAAGCCAAGCCTAAACATTACATCTCTGATAATGGATACTTGGTGGAATCATATTATAGGAACAGTGGGCCTAGGGTGTTAATATTAACCATCAGAATACTTCCTCCAGGAGATGCAGGGAATGGCTTCTAATTAAAGTGGCAGACCCCCCTCAGAAGCAGGTCCCAAGGTGCCTGCCCAGTCTAAATAGGGTTACCCAAAATGCCAACGGAGCACACAAAATCTTTTTACCCTCATAGAACACATGACCAGAATCATCATTTGTTCTCCCAGCCCCTTTATGCCTTGTAATTCAACGTGTGTGACTGGCCAAAAGAAAGCTAACCACTGCATTGCATTGGAAATATCTTAGGCTTTTTGGAAATAAAGCTTTTAATAATTAGTTTTTAATGATATTTTCCACAAGAAGCAGTTCATTAATTTTATTACAATGCTCTTAAAATATAGAAGAATACTAAGTTAAATTAATAGTGTCAAAATTGTATGGTTTAAAAATTGTTCTGTCTCTAAAAGATATTTTATTCCTTATTTATATTCCTTTCCTTCATGATTCTAGCCATGTGCTTTTCTTAAAACCCATGCCCTTGCTACAATCCCAAACGCATACTATATTTGCGTAAGTGTATTGACAGCATGATCCAAAGCCTATCGTCAATGGACGAACTCTGACTTCACTGAGCTTTGGATCAGGCCCTGAATGCATTATGGGATATTACTTAAGCCTTCCTCTAAAGGATCAGGTATTAATCTCTTCCAGAAACAGAACTGTAGACTATATAGATAAACAGTCCAACACGATGTAGCACCTTCTATTGCTGATATCCTACTTGCTGAGCAACTCAGTATGAACAAAGTGGTGACTCATGGCTTTGCTGGTGGGTCACACAGGGAACATGCAAGAGTTTGTCTGCATTATATAAATCAGTAAGTAGGACATTTAGAACTGCTTATCATTTCTGGATATGGTAGTAAATGGTCTGGAGGTAAGACCAACAATGAAAGACAACTTTCAAGTAGATCCCTCTAATCCATCTTGACAGTGACCCTTTAACACTTTCATGGGTGTTCTCAATATGGAAAGAAATGGTTGCCTGTTCTGTTTCATAAGAAAAAAAAATCAGTTGAACCTTTTGGTGCTGTTACTGTAATCAGCAGATCCTTTGTAGTTTTGTCAGGATGGAGAGAAGAAGGAACACCCTTTTGCCTTCCTGTTCCATTGAGTTTGCTCTGGGTTTACAGTACTGATTAGGTCAGACTTTACATACACACTACATGAGAGAGAACACACTATTTCATAAACGATCAATAGGCTCAGCTGGATCTTGGTGGTACCAAATTACTAGAGACAAGTAAGATGAGCAAGAAAGTGATGCCGAATAAGGTCCTTATTAATAGAATATTTTGACCCATTTTCATACAGTTCTCACATATTTTATCTGAGTAAAATTCAGAATGAATCTTTGCTTCATAGATTCATAGATACTAAGGTCAGAAGGGACCATTATGATCATCTAGTTTGACCTCCTGCACAACGCAGGCCACAGAATCTCACCCACCCACTCTTGCGAAAAACCTCTCACCTATGTCTGAGCAATTGAAGTCCTCAAATCGTGGTTTAAAGACTTCAAGGAGCAGAGAATCCTCCAGCTAGTGACCCGTGCCCCAGGCTACAGAGGAAGGCGAAAAACCTCCAGGGCCTCTTCCAATATGCCCTGGAGGAAAATTCCTTCCTGACCCAAAAAATGGTGATCAGCTAAACCCTGAGCATATGGGCAAGATTCACCAGCCAGATACTACAGAAAATTCTTTCCTGGGTAACTCAGATCCCACCCCATCTAACATCCCATCACAGGCCATTAGGCCTATTTACCATGAATATTTAATTACCAAAACCATGTTATCCCATCATACCATCGCCTCCATAAACTTATCGAGTTTAATCTTGAAGCCAGATAGATCTTTTGCCCCCACTGCTTCCCTTGGAAGGCTATTCCAAAACTTCACTCCTCTGATGGTTAGAAACCTTCATCTAATTTCAAGTCTAAACTTCCCAGTGACCAGTTTATATCCATTTGTACTTGTGTCCACATTGGTACTGAGCTTAAATAATTCCTCTCCCTCTCTGGTATTTATCCCTCTGATATATTTATAGAGAGCAATCATATCTCCCCTCAACCTTCTTTTAGTTAGGCTAAACAAGCCAAGCTCCTTGAGTCTCCTTTCATAAGACAAGTTTTCCATTCCTCGGATCATCCTAGTAGCCCTTCTCTGTACCTGTTCCAGTTTGAATTCGAGTAAGTTAATTTTTCTGCAGTTCATTAGACCTCCTATCCCTACTTGTAAAAGTTGTTTCCTTTCTCATTCTTTCCATTATTCACTTATTGGAAGTTGGAATTTCCCAGTGTCTATTCTATTCTGTTCTATTATATATAAGTTCTTATACCCATGCTCATCATCATAGTATCTAAGCACCAATATGATGCCCTCTGACATAGATATAGACCTTAATGCCCCCTGAGCCCTAGTCATTACATTGATATTATGGTGATGAGCATGGTAGAGGAACCTGTATAGAATATAACATATTTCCTTGGGTTTATCATCTTTATTATGCAATTTCTCTGCAAGACCAGATGGGAAAACTACACTTTATTCATCATCAACAAAAATCAGAATGTACACAGCAGTGGATTTGCCTCTGGCCATCATTCAAGAGTGTTTACCTGAGCCCACACCCTCATACATACAGACAATGTAAATCTTAAGGCAAATTCTGCCTCCAGTACTGTGGCTCATTTGTCAGCAAGGAAACTAATGCTGTTTGCAGATATTGGACAAAAGGAATAGGTTGCTTATACAGTACTGGTAGAGAGACCTGCCTCAGCACAGCCTTCTTGTGCTGATGGTCCTGATGATGCAGCTTTGATAGCCTGAAAATGAAAGCACTTGCCCTACTCTTGGGTCCTAGAAACACTTTTGATCTGTATGTGTTGACATATATATAAAATATTTCCTACATTAAGGATTTGGAACCATTTGCTACACATGAAGCAGTGGTGGTACACTGGATAATTCATAGGTATGGGCGCCTGGAGACCTCGGTTCTATTCCTGTCTGTGCCAGTGACTTAGTTTGTGACCTTTGGCACATCACTTAACCTTTCCCCTTCTTTTGGGGATAGTGATACTTACGATCCTTGCACAGTGCTCTGTAATGCACAGATGAAAAACTGGTGGAAAGATTCACAGAAAAAGCTTTGAAATGGTTTTTATCTCTATATAACTGGAGAGCAGTCTAGACAAAAAAACTAAACTGGTCTCACAATCTCAGAAAAGTCCCAGCGCTGGAATGACTGTGTATGGCATCCTTCATGTTCAAAGTCATCTTCTCTGTCTGTTCCCGGGCCCACCATTTTTGTGCCTTCCTGCTGGGGTAGCTGGTTGATTTGGCCTGCAATCTCTAGCTCTCCCTCATTACCTTCCCCCAAACTCAAGGAGGGCCAACCAAGCTGAAGTTAAGCCCTTATTTGTCATTGACCTGAGACAACCCTGCAGTCTGTCCCATATTCACTATTGTCATGTATCCATTGATATGCATTACATTGTCAGATTATGCAGGTGAATTGGGACCTACAGCATTCCTGGAGCACCACTGAACGCTGGGTGCATATTTGCTATTTCAGCTCCAGTCACTGAGGTTAGAACTGCTTGTGGATTGCTGCATGTTAATAGTTAAGAAAATATAAAAAGGCAGGTATGTAAGGCTGCCTCTGAGTAACCTAATTATAGCCACTGTCCGCTTGATATGACTGGGAATGTACTGATTATTCTGCTCTGCTTTGGGAGTTTTTATTATGGCAACCCTGGGAGAGTCTCACACAACTATGTACACAATCAGATCTCATGCCCCAAACCCCCAAATTAACAATGATAAAAAAAATCCTTCCATTGTCATTAAAAACAAGCATCAGGCCAAAGGGGCCTGTGCATGGAAGGGCCACAACACTGATCGTGGCAGTTTGCTGGTCTAGCTGGTCTTAGAAGTAGAACAGGAATTGCTAGCACGTTGTTGCCTTCTGCCGGAGGAAGTTTCTCTTCAGTCTCTTCTCTTCAGGAATGTCTTATTCAGTCTAGACACACCCTGGATGCACCGTGAAAGACTCAGTTCCCTCCAAAATGAGGGCTCTATCTAGAGGCATCCAAATCTCACCTCCTCAAGGTACCCTCCAAAAATGAGTTAGCTAATCTGTAGGAAGAGGTCAAACTATTTTCTTGGCACACTCCTGCTCTGCCTTTATTTACCAGACGCATTCAATCTTGTTTTCCCATT